TATTGAGACAGAATCTCGTTCTGTCACCAGGCTGGAGTGCAGTGGCACGATCTAGGCTCACTGCAACCCACATTCAAGCGATTCTCCCATCTCAAGTGCCAGCATACTGGGCTAATTATTGTATTTTTAGTAGAGGTGGCGTTTCTTTTTTTTCTTTCTTTTTTTTTTTTTTTTTGAGAGGGTGTTTCGCTCTTGTTACCCAGGCTGGAGTGCAATGGCGCGATCTTGGCTCACCGCAACCTCCACCTCCTGGGTTCAGGCAATTCTCCTGCCTCAGCCTCCTGAGTGGCTGGGATTACAGGCACATGCCACCATGCCCAGCTAATTTTTTTTTTTTTTTTTTGAGGCGGAGTTTCGCTCTTGTTACCCAGGCTGGAGTGCAATGGCGCGATCTCGGCTCACCGCAACCTCCGCCTCCTGGGTTCAAGCAATTCTCCTGCCTCAGCCTCCTGAGTAGCTGGGATTACAGGCATGCACCACCATGCCCAGCTAATGTTTTGTATTTTTAGTAGAGACGGGGTTTCACCATGTTGACCAGGATGGTCTCGATCTCTCGACCTCGTGATCCGCCTGCCTCAGCCTCCCAAAGTGCTGGGATTACAGACTTGAGCCACCGTACCCGGCTAATTTTTTGTATTTTTAGTAGAGATGGGGTTTCACCATGTTGACCAGTATGGTCTCAATCTCTTGACCTTGTAATCCACACGCCTTGGCCTCCCAAAGTGTTGGGATTACAGGCATGAGCCACCGCACCCAGCGGAGTGGGGGTTTCAACATGTTGGCCAGGCTGGTCTTGAACTCCTGACCTCAGGTGATTCACGTGCCTCGGCCTCCCACAGTGCTGGTGTAACAGGTGTGAGCCACTGCGCTGGACCAGAATTGCCTTTTCCTGAAGTGGGAGATCCTGTAGGGAGCAGCTTGGGTGGAGGCTGTGCAGTTTGAATCCTGGAGGGGGAGTGAGGACTCTTTTCCTTGCCCTGACTTTTTGCTGTCCAGGGGCACTTCAGAGACCTGGCACTAGTGTTTCCTCTGCCCACCCGAGCAGTACCCCACTTCCTCCAAGGAGGGAAACTTGCCCACTTCATCTCATTTTCCTTTGCTTGCATCTGTGTTTCTTGGAAGCTGCTCTTTCTTCCTACAACATTAAAAAAGCAAAAACCCAAAATGACATTGAAGGTTATTGTGAAAACAGAATATACCTTTAAATATATGTTCCTGGCACATGTAATATTTAAATTTTTAGGTATTCCACATCTGCCTTTGTTCAAAGCGTACTCTATATATGCATTTTGCATAATTGCATTGTATCTACATTTGAATGAGTGTTTCTGCTGATGTGAGAGCACTTATCCATGTTCCTTATCTTCACAGTTCTTTGAAAAGGCAACATAACCTTCCAACACATTGAGGTACTGCGGCTGTTTAACCTCTGCCTCACTGCAAAAGACAGTAGATTCCATTATGATTTTCTAGGATTGGTAGGCGTTTCCTGTGAAGGACCAGATAGTAAATATTTTCTGTTTTGTGGGCCATCTGGTCGCAGCCTCATACTGCTGTCGTAGTGTAAAGGCAGCCATAGACCATGTGTAAATGAAAGGATGTAGCTGTGTTCCAATAAAACTTTATTAGGGTAAAGTCAGCAGCTGGATTTGGCTTGGGGGCTATAGTTGACGACCCCTATATTAGGACACTACAGTAAAAATCTTTGTGCCCATTGATGCTCAGGAAGTCATTGTGTTATTGTGGAGAAGCTTTGCATGCAGACACATTGTGGATTTAACTCCATATTGAAGAACTTGGGCAGTGTTTTGTTTTCTTTTTTTTTTTTGAGCCAGGGTCTCACTCTGTCACCCAGGCTGGAGTACAGTGGTGCAGTCATAGTTTACTGTAACCTTAAACTCCTGGGCTCAAGTGATCCTCCCTCCTCGTTGTCAGCTCTTTAAGAGGCTGAGACTACAGGTGTGTGACACCATGCCCAGCTTTTTTTCTTTTCTTTTCTTTTCTTTTCTTTTTTTTTTGAGATGGAGTCTTGTTCTGTTGCCCAGGCTGGAGTACAGTGGCATGTTCTCAGTTCACCACAACCTCAGCCTCCCGGGTTCAAGCGATTCTCCTGCCTCAGCCTCCAGAGTACCTGGGACTATAGGTTTGTACCACCATGCCCAGGTAATTTTTGTATTTTTAGTAGAGACAGGTTTTCACCATGTTGGCCAGGATGGTCTCAATCTCTTGACTTCGTGATCTGCCCTCCTTGGCCTCCCAAAGTGTTGGGCTTTATAAGTGTGAGCCACTGCTCCTGGCCTGGGCAGATTTTTGAACTTCTCTGATTCTTAATTCTCTTACCGGAAAATGGAAGTTGAAGCAAGTAATGAATGTATTGTCCTTTCTCAGGACCTGGAATGTAGAGGGCCAGGCTAAATTGTTATTTCTATCTTTTCTCATTTCCCTGTTCCTTTTCTAGCTTAATTTCCAAGGTGTCAAAAAGGAATTTGATATTTTTTGTAGCTTTTGATATGCATTGTCATATTGCTTTTCAGAACTTACTGTACCCATAGATTGTTACCAGTGGTGTGTACTTGATTTATCATAGCTTTACCAGCATTCAGGAATTTCACTTTAAATGTTTCTTAGAGTCCGGGTGTGGTGGCTCACACCTGTAATCCCAGGACTTTGGGAAGCTGAGGAGGGTGAATCACCTGAGGTCAGGGATTTTAGACTAGCCTGACCAACATGGTAAAACACCGTCTTAACTAAAAATATAAAAATGAGCTGGGTGTGGTGGTGGGTGCTTGTAATCCCAGCTACTCAGGAGGCTGAGGCAGGATAATCACTTTAACCTGGGAGGCAGAGGTTGCAGTGAGCAGAGATCACGCCACTGTGTTCCAGCCTGGCTGACAGAGTAAGATTCCATCTCAAAAAAAACAAAAAACAAAAAACAAAACTTTCTTGGTTAATTTGTGATATAATGGTGCCATGTGGTGATTATTAGTAAGCATATAATTTGCATTTCTCCAGCCAGGAGGGAAGATACTCTTTGTTTCTTTTTTGAGATGTGATCTTGCTCTGTCACTCAGGCTGGAGTGCAATGGTCCAATCATTGCTTACTGCAGCCTTGACCTATAGGCTCAAGTGATCTTCCTACCTCAGCCTCCCTCATAGCTTGGACTACAGGTGTGGGCCACCATACACAGCTAATTTTTAAAAATCTTTTGTAGGGTCAAGGTCTCACTGTGTTGCCCAGGCTGGTCTCACACTCCTAGGCTCAAGTTATTCTCTGGCCTCTGCCTTCCAAAATGCAGGGATTGCAGGCAGGTGTGAGCCACCATTCTTGGCCTATTGTCACTTTAAAGTTTTTGCACATTGCCGTGATAGTGTTTTTTTTCCTGCAGCAAGAACCGGTGAACTGGGCTGGCCTCCTGTTTTACAATAAAGTTTTATTGGAACAAAGCCATATCTATTCATTTGCTATTATCGGTGGTGGGTTTTCAGACTTATACAATGGCAGAATTGAGTAACTGTGACAGAGAGTATATGGTCTGCAAAGCCTAAAAAAAAATATATATATATATATTTTATTGCACTTTAGGTTCTGGGGTACATGTGCGGAACATGCAGGATTGTTGCATAGGTACATACATGGCAATGTGGTTTGCTGCCTCCGTCCCCGTCACCTATATCTGGCATTTCTCCCTATGTTATCCCTCCCCAACTCCTTACCTGGCGCTGTCCTCCACTAGTCCCCACCAACAGACCCCAGTGTGTGATGCTTCCTTCCCTGTGTCCATGTGTTCTCATTGTTCAACACCCTCCTATGAGTGAGAACATGCGATGTTTGTTTTTCTGTTCTTGTGTCAGTTTGCTGAGAATGATGGTTTCCAGATTCAACCACGTCCGTACAAAGGACGTGTCAGTCATCTTTTTTTATGGCTGCATAATATTTTATGGTGTATATATGCCACATTTTCCCTGTCCAAGCTATCATACATGGACATTTGAGTTTATTCCAGGTCGTTGCTATTGTAAACAGTGCCACAATGAACATATATGTGCATGTGTCTTTATAATAGAATGATTTATAATCCTCTGGATATATACCCAGTAATGGGATTGCTGGGTCAAATGGAATTTCTGTTTCTAGGTCCTTGAGGAATCGCCACACTGTCTTCCACAATGGTTGAACTAATTTACACTCCCACCAACAGCGTAAAAGTGTTCCTATTTCTCCACATCCTCTCCAGCATCTGTTGTCTCCAGATTTTTCTTTTTTTTGAGACAGAGTTTCGCTCTTGTTACCCAGGCAGGAGTGCAATGGCGTAATCTCGGCTCACCGCAACCTCCACCTCCTGGGTTCAGGCAATTCTCCTGCCTCAGCCTCCTGAGTATCTGGGATTACAGGCACGCGCCACCATGCCCAGCTAATTTTTTGTATTTTTTTTTTTTTTGAGACAGAGTTTTTGCTCTTGTTACCCAGGCTGGAGTGCAATGGCGCGATCTCGGCTCATCGCAACCTCTGCCTCCTGGGTTCAGGCAATTCTCCTGCCTCAGCCTCCTGAGTAGCTGGGATTACAGGCACGCGCCAACATGCCCAGCTAATTTTTTGTATTTTTAGTAGAGACGGAGTTTCACTATGTTGACCGGGATGGTCTCGATCTCTTGACCTCGTGATCCACCCGCCTCGGCCTCCCAAAGTGCTGGGATTACAGGCTTGAGCCACCGCGCCCGGCAATTTTTTGTATTTTTAATAGAGATGGGGTTTCACCATGTTAACCAGGATGGTCTCGATCTCTTGACCTTGTGATCCACCTGCCTCGGCCTCCCAAAGTGCTGGGATTACAGGCTTAGCCACCGCGCCTGGCTTGTCTCCAGATTTTTTAATGATTGCCATTCTAACTGTTGTGAGATGGTATCTCAATGTGATTTTGATTTGCATTTCTTTAATGACCAGTGATGATAAGCATTTTTTCATATGTTTGTTTGCCTCATATATGTCTTCTTTTTTTTTAAATTCAAAATTCTTACTGTTTATTTATATATTGCATATCTCAAAAAGTTTGAAAAAAAAATGAAGTTTCGACAGGAAGTCAGTAAATGCTCATAGACCTGCCTTGTCTCTGGCACTTGGGGAAAAAAAAGAGTCTTGAAGTCCTTAGAGACTGGAATCTTGACAGCAGAATTTCAAATGTTCCAGTCACTTGCCAAGGAAGTGCCACACTTGCTCTTCATTATTACTTTCTTTATTTGGTGAAGATGATACCGATTCAACTAATGATCTTGCTTCCTCTTGAGTGCAGTGAAAAGGTCTGTCAGATATCTGCACATTTGTGCAATTTACAGTCCCTCCATTACACTTCTTCATAAGCAATGCTTCCAACATTGATGAGTGGATTTAACAACTTCGAGAGCAAAAGCCTTGTTTTTGAATTCTCCATTGAAAGCAAACTGGTTTTCTGGTTTTCCATCTGGTACCTTATATAATCTAAACCAATTAAGGGTAGCTTCGAGGTAACCCGGTTTCAACTTCTTAACATCATCAATGTCATGAAACTTTGAGGCTTCAGGATCATTCACATTGATAGCAATTAATTTCTAATCTGTTTCACCTTCATCAATAAGAGCCAAAATTCCGAGGATCTTCACTTGAATATCTTCTCCACAAGAAGCAATCTTTGAGCCTATTTCACAAACATCAATGGGATCATTATCTCCACAGCAGTTTGCGCTCTTGTCTTTTTGATGGGGATCTTCCCAAGTCCAAGGGAGGGTACCATAATTCCATATATAACCCTTGTAAGGGAAGATATTCGCCACATGGCATAGCTTTCCATCCTTTACATATTGTTTAATGGGATTCAGTGGCTCCTTGGTGGCAATCTCCATTTTAGCATTTGTCCACCGAGATATTTCTACAATCATATTAAATAGATTCTATCTCAGCAACCTTACACACAGTCCTGCTGTTATGTTTCATTTTCCATGCTCTTTCATGAGGTACCCCCGCCTCATATATGTCTTCTTTTGAAAAGTATCTGTTCATATCCTTCGCCCACTTTTGAATGGATTTGTTTTTTTTTTCTTGTAAAACTGTTTTAGTTCTTTGTAGTTTCTGGATATTAGCCCTTTGTCAGATGGGTAGATTGCAAAATTTTTTTTTTTTTTTTTTGAGACGGAGTTTCGCTCTTGGTTACCCAGGCTGGAGTGCAATGGCATGATCTCGGCTCACCGCAACCTCCGCCTCCTGGGTTCAGGCAATTCTCCTGCCTCAGCCTCCTAGTAGCTGGGATTACAGGCACGTGCCACCATGCCCAGCTAATTTTTTTTTGTATTTTAGTAGAGATGGGGTTTCACCATGTTGACCAGGATGGTCTTGATCTCTTGACCTCATGATCCACCTGCCTTGGCCTCCCAAAGTGCTGGGATTACAGGCTTGAGCCACCGCGCCCGGCCGATTGCAAAATTTTTTTCCTATTCTGCTGGTTGCTGATTCACTCTAATGACTGTTTCTTTTGCTGTGCAGAAGCTCTGACATTTAATTAGATCCCATTTGTCTATTTTGGCTTTTGTTGCCAATGCTTTTGGTGTTTTAATCATGAAGTCTTTGCCTATGTCTATGTTCTGAATAGTTTTGCCTAGGTTTTCTTATAGGGTTTTTGTGGTGTTAGGTCTTATGTTTAAGTCTTTAATCCATCTGGAGTTAATTTTAGCATAAAGTGTCAGGAAGGCATCCAGTTTCTGCTTTCTGCACACTGCTAGCCAGTTTTCCCAACACCATTTATTAAACATGGAATCATTTCCCATTCCTTGTTTTTGTCAGGTTTGTCAAAGATCAGATGGTTGTAGATGTGTGGCATTGCCTCCGAGGCCTCTGTTCTGTTCCATTGGTCTATATCTCTGTTTTGGTACCAGTACCATGCTGTTTTGATTACTGTAGACTTGTAGTATAGTTTGAAGTCAGGTAGCATGGTGCTTCCAGCTTTGTTCTTTTTGCTTAGAATTAACTTGGCTATGCGAGCTGTCTTTTGGTTCTTTATGAAGTTTTTTTTTTTTTTTTTGAGATGGAGTTTCGCTCTTGTTACCCAGGCTGGAGTGCAATGGCGCGATCTCGGCTCACTGCAACCTCCGCCTCCTGGGTTCAGGCAATTCTCCTGCCTCAGCCTCCTGAGTAGCTGGGATTACAGGCACGTGCCACCACGCCCAGCTAATTTTTTGTATTTTTAGTAGAGACGGGGTTTCACCATGTTGACCACGATGGTCTCGATCTCTTGACCTCGTGATCCACCCACCTCGGCCTCCCAAAGTGCTGGGATTATAGGCGTGAGCCACCGTGCCCGGCTTTATGAAGTTTAAGGTGGTTTTCTCCAGTTCTGTGAAGAGGGTCATAGGTAGCTTGATGGGGTTAGCGTTGAATCTACAAATTACTTTGGGCAGTATGGCCATTTTCACAATATTGATTCTTCCTAACCATGAGCATGGATTGTTTTTCCATCTGTTTGTGTCCTCTCTGATTTCCTTGAGCAGTGGTTTGTAGTTCTCCTTGAAGAGGTCCTTTACATCCTTTGTTAGTTGTATTCCTAGGTATTTTATTGTCTTTGCAGCAATTGTAAATGGCAGTTTGTTCTTGATTTGGCTCTCTTTAAGTGTGTTATTGGTGTATAGGAACGCTTGTGATTTCTGTACATTGATTTTGTATCCTGAGACTTTGCTGAAGTAGCTTATCGGTTTCAGGAGATTTTGGGCTGAGAAGCCTAAAATATTTACTGTTTTGCTCTTTACAGAAAATGTTTCCCAATCCCTGTTACTAGCGTAAAAAAAAATTTTTTTTTGAGATAGAGTCTCACTCTGTTGCCCAGGCTGGAATGCAGTGGTGCAATTTTGGCTCACTGCAACCTTTACCTGCTTGGGTTCAAGTGAGTCTCCTGCCTCAGCCTTTCCAGTAACTGGGATTATAGGTGGGCACCACCATGCCCTGTCTAATTTTTGTGTTTTCAGTAGAGACCGAGTTTCACCATGTTGGCCAGGCTGGTCCTGAACTCCTTACCTCAAGTGATCTGCCCTCCTTGGCCTCCCAAAGTGCTGGGACTACAGGTGTGAGCCCCTGTGACTGGCCTGCTCTAGAGTAAATTGATGGTCTTCATTCTTTGCTTATTTATTTTGTATTTGATCTTAGACCCCATAAGCCCACATAGATGGCCCAAGCTCATCTGCTGCATGTAGAGTCTCCTCTTTGCATTGTGTGGTGGCAGACAGTCTGTCCTTTTGTCCTGGGCCAGCTGTACCACTTCACCCCACAATACTGGGAGCCAGCACCCTGACATTGGGAAAGAGTGATTGTCCATTTTATCTGTATGTATGCTAAGGCTGGGACAGATAAAACCACCACCTCCCTCTGCCCATGACAGGGATGAGGCAGCTACTGTGTCCTGGCCAGTTCTGGTCCTTTTTATTTAAAGCAGCCACTTGAGGAGCCACAGAAATGAACTGTGCCAGAATCTAGATTCAACAACTGTTGAGTTCCTTCTGTGACTGGGGAGTTCATGAGGCTCCCATCTCTGTCCCCGTGAGCTCACAGTGCGTAATCCCTTCTGCAGCAGGGATTACACCTGTTCTGTGGTGGGACTGCAGGGCTGTGGGAGCACTGTGTAGAGACAGAGTAGTGTGCCCCTGGAGGATTGTTGACGGGAAGGTTTTGAGAAGGGAACATTTGAGCCAGCCATGAGGAGGTTGGGTTTTCTTTGGTGGCACTTTGGTGACAGAACCCTTTTTCTGTGCTAAGATTGAGCCATTCAAGGAGTGAGCCTGGTTTTGTGGAGGTTGAAGGTACAAGGTTTGGGGTAAAATATTGGGTCTGTCACCTCTAAGCTGTTCTTTAGGTGAATGATCAATGTCTCCAAGCATCACTTCCTTTGTGTGTTTCACTAGGGCGGCCAGCCCCCACCTTCCAGATAGATGTAAGTAAGGGTTAAACGTATGTGTCGGTATGGCGGCTTGGCGGCAGACCTGGCCCCAGGTGCGTTGTGTTTGGTCCCATGCAGAGTTGGCTGGAGTACTTTTCTAACATGGGTATAATTAGGTGCCAACTAACTGACACAAAAAAGCTGGATTTTCAGCCTCTCTTGAAAAACCAGGAGATGGGGCAATTGCTGGTATTGCTATGAGGTACTGTCTGCCAGAGCTGGGTAGCAGCTGCCATGCCTAGAGGGACACCTGCTCTGCTCTTGTGAGCTGTGCCTTGCCAGCCCACCCCACTCATTTCCATGCCCCACCTGACTCCGTGGGCATTGCAGGGGTCCCTCTTGGTCTTGTGTGTGCCCCAGGCGTATATTGGGCAGACTTTCTGCCACCCTTCTTCTTTACTTCTGCTTTCTTTCAGTTTCTTTATTTGGAATGGTAGTGGATTTTGAGGGGTGGGATGGGAGTGAAACAGTAGCAACAACACTAAAGTCGTCATTGGGCTGGTAGCACTAGGCTTCCCAGATGCCTGCCGGTGTAACTGAGGATGAATTCTGCAGTGACAACAGGTTGATGATGTTCTTGTTCCCTGTAAGACTCTGTATGTGGGGCCTTGGTTAGAGGGCGAGGGAAGATGAGAGCGTGATTATGATGCAGGCCTGGTCTACAGTGTGCTGGGGATCGCACACGTTTAACCATCTTAACTGCACGGTGGCTACGAGGTCTTCACACACAGACACTATTGTTTTAATTTTTAACCTGCCATCCTTATTTCATTGTTTCTGCCAGGGCAGTGGGCTGTTAAATCTGGCCCAAGAACTCTTTGTTATACATTATCTATGGCTTCTTTTCACACTGCAGTGGCAGAGTTGGGTAGTGACAGCAACCCTGTGGCCCACAAAACCTAAAATACTGACTGAGTGATTTTTTCCAGAAAGAGTTTGCTGACCCCCATTCTAGGGAATGCTAAAGGTACAGGTTCAGTGAAAATCAGAAACAAATCATGTGAGGCAGCCTGCCATAGATGCACACGCAGGGCTGACAGAAATGCTGTGTCTGTTGCAGTTGCGTGGGACACATTGAATGAATCACGTAACATCATTGTTTGTATCCTGTAATACCAGTAAGTCGTTTATTGTGTATTCATCTGTGCTTCCAGATGTTCTAGCCCCTGAATTATCTATAATTCAGCACAGGGTAAAGGAAATGAGAGTAATAGGGCCAGAGCTAGGAACAGCGATTGAGACAGGGGTGGCTGTCACTGAGGCCCTTTGCCGTGAGACTTGCCGTCTCATGAAGAAAGAGCTATGCCAGACTGGGGGAGATAGGGGCACAGCTGGAGGGGCCAGTGGAAGCAAGGCATGGTTTTTATTAAATTTATTTACTTTATTTTAAAAAATATAAATATGTTTGTTTATTTTATTATTTTATTTTCTTTTGAGACAGAGTCTCGCTTTGTCACCCAGGCTGGAGTGCAGTGGTGTGATCTCAGCTTACACAACCTCTGTCTCCCAGGTTCAAGTGATTCTCCAGCTGCAGCCTCCCAAGTAACAGAGATTACAGGCATGTGCCACCATGCCTGGCTAATTTTTTGTCTCTTTTTTTTTTTTGAGATGGAGTTTTGCTCTTATTGCCCAGGGTAGAGTGCTATGCCGCTATCTCAGCTCACTGCAACCTCTGCCTCAGCCTCCTGAGTAGCTGAGATTACAGGCATCTGTCACTACGCCTAGCTCATTTTTATATTTTTAGTAGAGATGGGGTTTCACCATGTTGGCCAGGCTGCTCTTGAACTCCTGGTCTCAAGTGTTCCACCTGCCTTGGCCTCCCAAAGTGCTGGGATTACAGATGAGCCACTGCACCCTGCTGGGAGTAGCTTTTCTACTGTGTGATTCAATACAGGGACTGGGTTCTCTATGCAGTTGCCTTGTCCAGCCTTTGCAATAATCCTATTGTAGTTCTTCAGAACAGGAACATTTTCTCAGCCAACATCTACCTGTTGCAGTCCTTCTCATAAAAATACTGGGCCAAGAGTGGTGGCTCACACCTGTAATCTCAACACATTGGGAGACTGAGGCAGGAGGATCATTTGAGGCCAGGAGTTCAAGACCAGCCCAGGCAACATAGCGAGACCCTGTCTTTACAAAAAATGCAAAATTAACCAAGTATGGCGGTGTACTCCTGTAGTCCTAGCTACTTGAGAAGCTGAGGTGGGAGGATTGCTTGAGCCCAGGAGTTGGAGGCCAAAGTGAGCTATGATCACCATACTGTACTCTAGCCAGGATGACAGAGCCAGACTCCATCTCTTACTATTTTTTTTTAAATTGAGGTAAAATTTACAAAACAAAGAATTAACTGTTGTTCTAAAACAAGCAATTCAGGGGCATTTAGTACGTTTGCATTGTTGTGCAACTAGCACCTCTGTCTAGTTTCAAAACATTTTCGTCACCCAAAGGAAACTCCATATCCTTTGAGTGTCACCCATCCCCCTACCACTCCAGCCCCTGGAAACCACCTCTCTGCCTTCTGTCTCTATGGATTTACCTGTTCTGGTTCTTCCCATTTTTGCAAGCACAGCTCAAGTTCCCACTTGTTCAGTGAGAGTTAGGAAGAGCAGGCTCAGCCTCCACTGCAGCACTTGTTTGACTGTGTGCCCTTGGGCAGAATTCCTTGCACACAGTGGGTACTCAAAGAGCATTGCCTTCTTTTTCTTTTCTTGCTTGTACCTGCTTAATGTGTTACAAGGATCTCACCAGATAAATGTCTAGCGTTGCCTCCACCACTGCATTGAGTGGCAGCGAAATACCACTTTTGCTGTGGGCTGGGTGTGGTGCCTCACACCTGTAATCTCAGCACTTTGGGAGGCCAAGGTGGGCGGATAACTTGAGAAGTTTGAGACTAGCCTGACCAACATGGCGAAACCTCATCTCTACTAAAAATAAAAAAAGAATTAGCCGGGTATAGTGGTGGGCGCCTGTAATCCCAGCTACTCAGGAGGAGTAGGCAAGAGAATCTTTGTTGTTGTCTGTTTGTAGACGTAATAGGGAGGCTGAGGCAAGAGAATTGCTTGAACCTGGGAGGCAGAGGCCTCAGTGAGAAGAGATGGTGCCACTGCACTCCAGCCTGGGTGACTGAGTGAGACTGTGTAAAAGAAAAGAAAAAAAAAATCCTGTGGCCCACCTCTGTGGAATGGGAACCAGTTTACTTGGAGCTCCAGGTTGTGAGGGTTAAGAGGGAATATAGCCAGAGCGCCTGGTTGCTGCGCCTGCTTGTTTACCCCTCGCCACGTGCCAGGGGCCTCTTTCACCCTTTCATCTCCCAAGGGCGGTAACACAGAGGTCTGGACTGAATTGCTGTGCCTGGGCTTTGGAGAGAAGGTAGCTAGTTGAAAGGACTTCTTGGAGCCAGAGATCTTGATACTTTGGGGTAAGGGTTTCCAACAACAGTGATGATAGCTAGTTTTATTAAGTGCTTGGTATAAACCAGGCCGAGTTCTAGGCGCACAACACAATTTCACTCATTTCATCCTCCCAAGAGGTGGGTTCTCTGATAAAGAGCCTGAAGCAGGGAGGTTAACTAACTTGCTCATGATCACATGGCTGGTGGAGTAAGATTCTAACCCAGGCTATTGTGTTTGTTTGTTTGTTTGTTTCTCTCTGGTTGCCCAGGCTGTAGTGCAATGGTGCAATCTTGGCTCACTGCAACCTCTAACTCCCAGATTCAAGCGATTCTCCTGCCTCAGTCTCCAAAATAGCTAGGACTATAGGAATGCACTACCACGCCCAGCTAATTTTGTATTTTTAGTAGAGATGGGGTTTCATCATGTTGGCCAGGCTGGTCTGGGACCCCTGACCTCAGGTGATCTACCCACCTTGGCCTCCCAAAGTGCTGAGATTACAAGCCTGAGCCACCCCGCCAGGCTCTTGTTCTTAATTTCTGCTCTCTCTCTAGGAGGTCACTGCAGCTTGAATGGTGATCTGAGACAGAAGGCTAGAGGTTTGTGGTAAAAATTAGCATAGGACCCAAAGGACTCTAAATGTTAAACATTAGATCCTGAGGGTTCTAAACATTAAAGGCAAAGGCCAGGCACTGTGGCTCACGCCTGTAATCCTAGCATTTTGGAAGGCCAAGGCAGGCAGATCACCTGAGGTCAGGAGTTGAGACCAGCCTGGCCAACTTGGTGAAACCCCATCTCTACTAAAAATACAAAAATTAACTGGGTGTGGTGGTGCACACCTGTAATCCCAGATACTCGGGAGGCTGAGGCAGGAGAATTGCTTGAACCCGGGAGGCAGAGTTTGCATTGAGTCCTGATCGTGCCCCTGCCCTCCAGCCTAGGTGACAGGAGCAAGAATCCGTCTACAAACAAACAACAACAACAACAAAACATTAAAGAGAGTCCCAACTAGGTGACTGACTTTCCCATGCACATGAGGTTTCTGAGTAGAGTTAGGGGGTGACAGCTGACTGTTTTTCCCAGACAGGTTTGTGGATCCCTGGAGGTATTCCCTGGGGTGCCTTTCCATTTTTTGTTTTCATTTTGATGGTGATCTAAATGAGAAATTTAAAGGAAGCCTGCTCTCGTTCACCTGGTTGGCTGTTGGCTGGGGGCTGCCCATGGAGATGAGGATGCAGGAATATGGGGTTGGATTGCTCCTGTGTTGTGAAGTGTTTGCTGAATTTGCAGTGAGCCACTGCTGCAGTTTGTTACAGAGATTGAAGGTGAGCAGGGCTTAGCAGCTGGAAGGTCTGAGAGTCCGTGAACTTGGAATTGAATTCCTCCTTGGCCACTTCCCAAGGGTCTAGCCTTGGGTAAAAGTCTTTTCCTCTCTGAGTCACAGTTCTCTCTATTGAATACAACCACTTTTCCTTCGTTGTCAAGGATTAAATACGTCAGTCATCTCATGACTTAGCCTGTGGTTGGGACTCAGTAGGTGGCACATTCTTCTTGCTTCTCTCTGAGTGGCAGCAACATTTGAAGCTGGCAGATTCTTCTGGGCCCTGGCAGGGTATTGTACTCTCCACTGGATTCAGAGGAAGAAGGTAAGAAGGAGACTGGTAGCGTTGATTGCTTTGCCCTCCTGTCTCTGCAGAATCCCCACATTAGCAGACTGTAGAGCTAGGAGGGTATGATCTCATGCAGAAACCAGTGCCCAGACAAGGGAAGTGACTGTCCCTGTCACATGGCTAGCAAGCAGGCCAGGCAGGATCAGAGCTCAGGCCTTGTGACTTCCCACTCAGTGCTCCTTCCACTGTTCCTCTCAGTTGATAAGTGATCCTGAGACCACCTGTGCTCCCTGCAGCCTATTAAATGCCGTTTCTCTCTTTATTTATTTATTTTTGAGACACTCTCACTCTGTTGCCCAGCTGGAGTGCACTGGCACAATCTTGGCTCACTGCAACCTCTGCTTTCCAGGTTTGAGTGATTTTCCTTCCTTAGCCTCCTGGGTAGCTGGGATTACAGGTGCCCGCCACCACGCCTGGCTAATTTTTGTATTTTTAGTAGAGACGGGTTTTGCCATATTGGCCAGAGTGATTTTGAACTCCTGAGCTCATGTGATCTGCCCACCTTGGCCTCCCAAAGTTGCTGGGATTAAAGGTGTGAGCCACTGTCCCTGGCCCATTGTTGCTTTTAAACTAGGTGTCCATGAGACCTGAGGTTTCTGTGGACCTTGAAGTTTGAGAAGCACTGCATTAAAAAATTATCAGTAGGGAGATGATAGAGATTTTTATTTTCTTTGTACATTTTTTCCTGATTTGTTATTCTATTTTTTTTCCAACATGAATTGTTGCTGTAATGAGAAAAAAATAGCAAAGGCATTTCCAGTGCAGGGAACCCTGTCAGGTTTCCAGTTGGCATTGCTCAAGAGCAGGCAGAACTGTCAGGTCTCATACTTGGAAAAAGGAAGAAAGCAAGCCTGACTTTTCTATTCTGGTGTTAAGGAGAGAAGAGCAGAGTCCAAACTCTGGATTCTGAAACAAAGAACGTTTGATTGATAGACACAGGTGTCCAGAGGTGTGGGAGGACCTTTGCCAGATGGGTCTATAGCCATCCCGAGTGATGCCTTGAAATGCCTGATGGCTGGTGGGAATGGAGTCTAGGCTATTCCTGATCAAATCCTCTTCCAGAAAAAGTACTAATGGTACTTTTTGAAGAATCAGCTATTTTACTGTGTGACTCAAAGGATCTGCTGACTGATTTTATCACCAGACCTGGGGGTAAGGCAGGATCCTTGTATCGTGGTCCCAACATAGGCTTTAGAAGTCTTGAGTCAGGATCACAGTTCCACCAATTAGAATTCAAATTTGAACAGAATCTACCCCCATTATCATGGTCCACAAGATCCTGTGTGACTGGCCCCTGCATGCCTGTTTGATTGTTCCTTCTGCTTTTTTGCTTTTTGGTCAAGCCACAGCGAACTTCCTTCTAGTCCTGGAAGACTAGAGCTAAGTTTGTCCTGCCTCAGAGCCTCTCCCCTTGCTGTTTGCACTGTCTGGAACACTGGCCTGCCATATTTTTCCATAGGTGCTCCTTCTCTTTATAGAGGGCTTAGCTCAAATGTCACCTGTGTAGAGAGACCTCAGTGGCTGCCTTGGCTAAAACAGCCTTCTTGCTTCCTCCCTAACCCATCACTCTCTTTGTTTTTTTCTTGCTAGTATTACTCTCTAATACTTTTTCATTGATTAGTTTAATTTTGTGTGGATTGTTTCTTATTCTTTTTTGTTTGTTTGTTTGAGATAGGGTCTCACTCTGTCACCCAGGCTGGAGTGCAGTGGGGCGATTTCAGCTCACTGCAACCTCTGCCTTCCGGATTCAAGTGATCCTTCCACTTCTGCCTCATGAATAGCTGTGACCACAGGTGTGTGCCACCATCCCTGGCTAATTTTTTGTATTTTTGGTAGATACAGGGCTTCGTTATGTTGCCCAGGCTGGTCTCAAACTCCTGAGCTCAAGCAATCTGCCTGCCTCAGCCTCTCAAAGTGCTGGGATTATAGGTGTGAGCCACCATGTGCCCACTTTCTAGTAGGATTTTAGCTCCATTTAACTCCTGTGTCCTCAGCTCTTAAAACATTGCCTCACACACAATAGAAGTTAAATAAATCCTGGGTGGATCAGTGCACACAGTCACTTGACGTCTGTGGGCTTCAGCTTTCCCATCTGTGTTTGGGGTCCTGGCTTGTAGGGTGGATGTGAAGGTGAAAGGAGACGATGCATACAGAGTGCCCAGCTTGGTGCCTGGCATGTAGGGTGTGCCCAGCATGTGGTGGTGGTTGTTATCAACCAGCTGGCCCAGGCTTGACTGGAGGAATCACTGACCTTCTCTGAGGTAATGCCCCACTGCTGCTCCCTGGTGCAGCCCCCGTAGAGTTGCCCAAGACACAATCAGCCTGATGGCAATTCAGCGCTTGCTATGTGGAACATCTGCCCTTGAAACTTGAATTTCAGTATCCTCTGAAGTCAGTGTGCTCTGTGTCTGGTGTGTCATATTCCGTGGCTTTGTATCTTGCTTGGAGGTAGTGGGCCTCTTGTGGAGATCAGGTGTGGCTCCAACAACTGTCTACCTGGTGCTTTCAAGTGCTCGTGCTCTAGACCTTAAATGGAAGTTCAGTGTATGTCATCCATGTCAGTTGGGAATGCTTTTGGCTGCAAGTAACAGCCCAGTGTGTGGTGGTGTGGACAAATAAGGTTATTATTTTGTGAGAATTAGCTTGTTTCTAGTCTTGGCTTAACTCAGTGATCTAAGGGCTGGTGTCTTTGTGATTCTGTAGGTCTTTCCCTCAGGCTCGTGACTTCATGGTGGCAAAATGCTACTCCAGCTCCACCCAACATGTTTATGATTAAGGCATGAAGGATGGAGGATGGAATGATGCCCTTTAAGCTTTTCTTTATATCAGAAAGGAATCTTTCCCAGAACTCTCCCAGTTTACTTCTGCTGGCTTCTCATTGGCCAGACTGCTTAAGTTCAGACTCAGCTGTTGAGAAAAGGAGTAATCAGGTTTTTCAGCTTGGATTGCTGAAGGTGGCATGGAAAAAGGATGTTGGAGATGGTAGTGAGATCAGCCAGTGAGCAGTGCCCACTGTATTGGGAAACTTAAGTTTTATTTTAGGCTGCTGGTTGACAACTGGGGGCAGTTTTGATTCCCAGGGGACATATGGGATTACGTGGGGACATTTTTGTTATAACTCAGGGTTTGTGTGTGCTAATGGCATGTAATGTGTAGAGGCCAGAGATGCTGCTAAACATTCTGCAATGTCAATAATGCCAAGGGTTGAGAAGCCCTTAGACCATTCTAGCCATCTTCTTCAAATTTGGGGAAAATGAGTTTAGCTGTTTTCCTTTGATGCAGTAACAGGCAGTGGGCAAACTTCACTGTAATGTTATAGATTATTGGTACCTGGTCGTGGTATTGATTTTGTTAAAGATCAGTAGCAATGGACTGATGTAGTTGAGGACAACCATGTACCATAATGTCAGAAAGTCTTAATAGAAGACGAGCATCAGACAGAACTAATGAAGCCTCATTCCATTTTAGGATCACAGAACAATGACAAAAGACAATTTCTGCTGGAGCGACTGCTGGATGCAGTGAAGCAGGTAAGCAGAAAGCACACGTTTGCCTTTTCGGTCGAGTAATGTGTCAGATAATTAATATAGGTCATTTCTTCCCCATAACATACATATACTGACTCCCACTTTATATCTGGGAACAGTGAAGCGATCTAATCGTTTTCCCCAGGAAATGATAGAGCAGGGAATGTGGTCAGAGTTGGGTTGGAAGAAGTCCTGTGTCTTGAATTTCCAAAGCCCTCTAGAGGACTCCATCCTTCATGATGTCCTTTCAAGAAGGGCATTGGGCTGGGCGCAGTGGATCACACCTATAATCTCAGCACTTTGGGAGGTCAAGGCGGGCAGATCACTCACTTGAGGTCAGGAGTTCGAGACTAACCTGGCCAAAATGGTGAAACCTGTCTGTACTAAAAATACGAAAATTAGCTGGGTATGCTGGCAGGTACCTGTAATCCCAGCTACTTGGGAGGCTGAGGCAGGAGAATCGCTTGAACTTGGGAGGCAGAGGTTGCAGTGAGCCGAGATCATGGCATTGTACTCCAGCCTGGTGATAGAGTGAGACTGTCTCAAAAAAGAAAAGAAAAAAAAAAAAAAAAAAAGAGAAGAAAAAAAAAGAACATTGGTGTGGGTTTCAAAGTCTCATTGTCTCATTTCCAAGCATTTGTGTTTGAGAGCAACTCCGAAGGGTGCAGAGGTGGTGGTCTGGAGTTAGGACCGCTGAGCACAAGAAGGCTAGGACAGGGAGGAAGGAGCCCATGCCTGGGGTTCTCTGCTGCTGCCCCAGCTATATGGATGCTCCAGGTGGCTCTGTGGTGTTCGGTGTGATGCTGTTTCTGATGCTTGGCTCTGGCTGGGCTTGGAAGCAAGCCTGGACGTGAGACTGGAATCTGCTTGCTGCATGTACCAGATGCATGCTAGTGTTAGCTGTCATTGATCACACCTTCTCTGTGTGCCAGGCTCTCCACTAAGCACTTTATATTTAATCCTTCCAACAACACTGTGAGATTATAGTTCCTGCAATTGGTTTCATTTTACGAATGAAGAAACTGAAGCTCAGAGAGATCCAATAATTTGCTCAAGGCGTCACAGTTAGTAAGTGGCAGAGGTAGGATCCAAATCTGGAAATTCTAGGAGCTCTCTTTTGGAAGGTGCAGTGACAATTATATGTGTGTAATTACACTATAGGGAGGTAAGTACTTTAATAGGGGTATGTGTTAATTTTTTTTTTTTTTTTTTTTTTTAGAGACAGGGTCTTGCTGTTGCCCAGGCTTGAGCTCAGTGGTGCCATCATAGCTCATTGTAACCTCGAACTCCTGGGCTCAAGCAATCCTTCCACCTTAGCCTCATGAGTGGCTGGGACTACATACAGGTGCATGACACCACACGTGGCCAGGATGTGTGTTGAGTATTGAAGTGAGCCCAGAGAATGTAGCATCTACGCAAGCCTTGACGCATTGTGTGATAGGAAGGACACAGGCTTTGGGCTCAGATGTAGCTGGAAGTGAAGGCCAGCTTTACTTCTTCAGCTCTGTGTGTACAGGGACAACTCATGCACCCTCCCTGAGCATCCTTTTTCTGTTCTGTAACTGGGTCACTTATCTGTGTACGGCTGCTGAGGGAATTGGCTTGTTAAAGCAGGTAAAGGGCCCGGACAGAGCCTGGTCCTCTGTTAATATGGTAACATCTGGAGCCCATGTTATTAGCTTGTTCTTTCTTTGCTGCAGAAATGGAAAATATAATAAGGTGAGGAGGCAAGTTGAACCACTTTAAATGTAGCAGTTAGAGAGAAATAAATTGGAGGTTATGCCCAGAGCTTCGTTTTTTTTTTTTTTTTGTTTGTTTGTTTGTTTGTTTGTTTTTAGATGGAGTCTAGCTCTATTGCCGAGGCTGGAATGCAGTGGCATAATCTCAGCTCACTGCAACCTCTGTCTCCTAGGTTCAAGTGATTCTCCTGCCTCAGGCTCCCAAGTAGCTGGGACTACAGGCGTGCACCACTGTGCCTGGCTAATTTTTGTATTTTATTTCATTTTCGAGATGGAATTTTGCTCTTGTTGCCCAGGCTGGAGTGCAATGGCACGATCTTGGCTCACTGTAGCCTCCACCTCCCTGGTTCTAGTGATTCTCCTGCCTTAGCCTCCTAATTAGCTGGGATTATAGACGCAAGCCACCATGCCCAGCTAATTTTGTATTTTTAGTAGAAATGGGGTTTCTCCATTGGTCAGGCTGGTGTCTAACTCCCAACCTCAGGTGATCCAACTGCCTCGGCCTTCCAAAGTGCTGGGATTACAGGTGTGAGCCACTGTGCCTATATTTTATTTTTTAATTTTTATTTATTTATTTATTTATTTATTTTTGAGATGGAGTCTCACTCTGTGGCCCAGCCTGGAGTGCAGTGGTGTGATTTCAGCTCACTGCAACCTCTGCCCCCTAGATTTAAGCAATTCTCCTACCTCAGCCTCCTGAGTAGCTGGGATTACAGGTGCCTGCCACCATGCCCAGCTAATTTTTGTATTTTTAGTAGAGATGGGGTTTCATCATGTTGGCCAGGCTAGTCTTGAACTCCTGACCTCAGGTGATCCACCCGCCTTGGTCTCCCAAAGTGTTGGGATTACATGCATGAACCATTTCACCCGGCCAGTTTTTGTATTTTTTTAGTAGAGGCAGGGTTTCCTCACGTTGACCAGGCTGGTCTTGAACTCCTAACATCAGGTCATCCACCCACCTTGACCTCCCAAAGTGCTGGGATTACAGATGTGAGCCTCCACGTCTGGCCTGCTGTTATTGTTATTATTATTGTTATTTTGAGGGTTAAAGTGTTGTATATGACTTTTTTTTGCATATAAGTTTTATAAATAAACTTTTTTGATGTATAATTTACATAAAATATAGCGTTTTAAATGTACAGTTTTATGTGTTTTGACTAATGTGTCATTTAAAATTATATACACACACAGATACACACACACACACACACACACACACACACACACACACACACACACTGTAGTAGTTTTGATAATAAGTTTAGGAATCCTGCAAGACTGCTACACATAGCAGAGATTCTGTACCTTTAAAAGACAAAATACAGTAGTAGGCCAGGTGCAGTGGCTCTCACCTGTAATCCCAGTGCTTGGGAGGCCAAGGTTGGGTGGCTTTTTTTTTTTAAGAAAATTAGAGATTGGGCACGGTGGCTCACACCTGTAATCCCAGCACTTTGGGAGGCCAAGGTTGGGTGGATCATGAGGTTAGGAGTTCGAGACCAGCCTGACCAACGGGGTGAAACCACGTCTCTACTAAAAATACAAAAATCAGCTGAGCATGGTGGCATGTGCCTGTAATCCTAGCTACTCAGGAGGCTGAGGGAGGAGAATTGCTTGAATCTGGGAAGCGGAGGTTGCAGCGATCCAAGATCGTACCACTGTACTCCAGCCTAGGTGACAGAGCAAGACTCCATCTCAAAAAAAAAAAAAAAAAAAAGGAAAAGAAAACTAGAATAGTGCCGGGCGCGGTGGCTCAAGCCTGTAATCCCAGCACTTTGGGAGGCCGAGGCGGGTGGATCACAAGGTCAAGAGATCGAGACCATCCTGGTCAACATGGTGAAACCCCGTCTCTACTAAAAATACAAAAAATTAGCTGGGCATGGTGGTGCGTGCCTGTAATCCCAGCTACTCAGGAGGCTGAGTCTGGAGAATTGCCTGAACCCAGGAGGCGGAGGTTGTGGTGAGCCGAGATCGCGCCATTGCACTCCAGCCTGGGTGACAAGAGCGAAACTCTGTCTCAAAAAAAAAAAAACACACAAAAAAAACTAGAATAGTGAATAATGGTGATGGTTGCACAACATTGTAAATGGAAATTTACACCTAAAGATGGTTAAAATGGCAAAGTATACGTTCTCTATATTTTAATTTTACCAATTCAAAAAGTAGCCTGGTTTAATTTTTATCCACTCTCAGTACATGGTCATTCCGCACAACAGGATAACTCGTATGAGGCGGTTGTAACGTCATAGCCAGTCATAACAACTCTGGGGCTCTGTCCAAAGGGACCCATCAGTGCAGGTTGGTGGAAGTTGTAGTTATCACCCATGAAGAGCTTTGTGTTGTAGACAGTTAGCTGCTGACAGCAGGAGCAGCTTCCTGGATAATGCACAGATGGCTGTGTGTTTTGTTTTCCTGTTAGCGTTGTTTTCCCACAAGGCTTGTTTCTGTATAAGTTTGGGGTACAGGAGATAAGGGTTTCCTTTAAGTGGCAGCTTGAAGGCTGGGGTGTGCACCTTCTTAAGTCTTGTGCTGACACTCAGGGCACAGGGATGTCCTGATGTGGCTTGCAGAGCTTCTGGTCCCGTGTCCCCTTCCTGACCCTTAAGCCCTGTGTGGGTTGTTTTGTAACGTTTTGAGTGTCCCAACCCAACAGCTGATCTCAGCAGCTTCTTTTTCTGTGCAGTGCCAGATCCGCTTTGGAGGGAGAAAGGAGATCGCCTCGGATTCTGACAGCAGGTAAATATGTCTCTTCTAAAACCATTGACCATCGAGGTTGAAAAGGCAGCAGAAGGTGACTGGCTTATGTGCTCTGCCTCTGCAGCCGAGAGGTACAGCGCTGAAATGTGAGTCCCCCGTGGACTCTTTGTGCAGTGACTACTTATCGCCAACACTCACATTTTCTGTAATTCTCTTTCTAGGAATCTATTCTGAAGGAATTATTCAAAATACCTTCCCATATAAAGTTATTTTCAGGATGAATAATAATGATAAGAACTTAGATGTCTGAATACCCAATAATTGGCAAATATTTAAATAAAGCATAGTGCATTAATAGGACGGAATGTTATATAGTCATTAAAAATGATATTTATATAGAATTTGTTTTCAACAGAAAAGCACATAGGTAGTGATTTAAAAATTACATATGCAGTAAAAGGCATATGTTGTAAAAAGAGCAGGATACGAAATTCTATGGTTGCAGAGTGGTCCTAGCTATGTCAGATAGCACTGGCCAAACACATGAAATGTGGCCTGAGGTAGCAGTAGGGGTAAGAATATTGGAAATATTGCTTTCTGGTATGTTTCATATTTTTACTGTGATTATCTGTTTCTTTTATGATAACAAATATTTCCTAAAAATGGGCCAGGTGCGGTGGCTCATGCCTGTAATCCCAGCACTTTTCGAATCCTAGGCAGGGGGATCACTTGAGGTCAGGAGTTCGAGACCAGGCTGGCCAACATGGTGAAACCCTGTCTCTACTAAAAATACAAAAACTAGTTGGGCGTCGTGGTGTACACCTGTAGTCCCAGCTACTTGGGAAGCTGAGGCAGGAGACTTGCTTGAGGCCAGACTAATTTTGGGGAAAATCAAGGTTTTAGGGGTGGAGGTTGCAGTGAGCTGAGTTTGCACTGCTACACTCCAGCCTGGGTGACAAAGTGAAACAGAGTGACTGTGTTTCAAAAAAAAAAAAAAAAAAAAAATCTTAAAAATGGCCATTGACATTCACGACCCAGGAAAGGCTGACATAATTGCATAAGCTGATAATATTGGCTGGAAGGAGACACACGGGACTTAGGAAAGGTAGGGGACACACAGGCATCCAGTCCTTGCTGCAAATGTGTTGTGAGCTCAGTCAGAGCTGATTCGCGCTCTGCAGCCCCTGGGGTGGCAGGAGGGACATTCCTGCATGGGAAGGAAAGGGAAGGGAACTTACTTGCTCAACGTTCATCTCATCCTGGAAACTGTTCGTGTCCCCCGCCCTCTCACCCTAGCCCACCTACCCATGTCCATCATTCCTTTTTCAGTCCTTTCCTTCCTTTGTTCTTCTGTAAAACTTTAACAGCCATGAGCAAAGCATGTAGACCTGCCTGGAATAGAGCTACATGGGTGATTTGAAACTGGCACAGGTTTAAAATGATACATCTTATAATCCATTCCTGCTTTGCTTAGGTTTTCTTCATGACATGTATCACCCTCCAACAGGCTATATATACATTCAGCCTTTTAATTTTGCTTATTATCTGTCTCTTGTCACTATAATGTCAGCTATGTGCAGGCAGGGATGTTTTGCTGTATTGTTTACAGATGTCTCTCCAGTGCCTAGAAGCATCTAGAAGGTACTCAGTAAAGATTTGTTGTCCAGATGAGTATGTGTATTACATACTCATCCATCATCGCGAAAGGATGTTTCTCCATTTTAAAAAAAATTTTACTTCTTAGTGTTTTACACAAGCACTTTGTGCCTATCATACATTAGATTCTCAGTGTGTTTGTGGCATTAGATCATTAGACTGATTGATCAATTTAGTCCTTCTTTAGGGCCTGCTATGAGGCCTGGCTTTGGTCTACACAGGGATCCAAGGTCTGCTTGCATCGGAATCTCCTGGGAGGCTTATTGATGATGCACTGTCTAAGTCCCATCCTAGTTGTACTGGAGCAGGATGTGTATATGTGCATGAATTTGTGTGTGTATGTACTGAAACCGAGCAGCTTGCTGAGAGTTTGCAATTCAGCAGGCTCCCCAGGTGATTCTGCTGGACACGAAAGCTTCCAGTGCAGTCAGTTTTTAAGGGCCTGAGATGCAGAGGTAATTAGGAAGGACTCCCCTTTCCTGGCCAGGTTGGTTTGTCTTTGTGTATGGGTGTGTGTGGTGTGTGTCTGTTTATCTGTGACTTCTTGATCACTTTTCTGTATTACCATGCTGTCCATTTTCTGAGAGAGGCAATCCTCCTCTGAATGTTAGGTTAATGTGTTCTTACACAGCGTATGCCTCATCTAAAAACCCAAAATTAGAATGCTCCAAAATCCAAAACTTTTTGAGTACCAACATGATGCTCAAGGAAATGCTAATGGCAGCAAGTTGGATTTTGGATTTTTGGGTTAGGCATGCCTAACTGGTAAGTATATAATACGCATATGTCATAGTCCAGAAAAACCTGAAATTGGAAACATTTCTGATTCTAAGTATTTTGGATAAGGAATACTGAATCTATATAATAGAATTTACTACCATAACCTTTGTTACAGAAAATGTTGTGTTTTTTTTTTTGAGACGGAGTTTTGCTCTTGTTAGCCAGGCTGGAGTGCAATGGTGCGATCTCTGCTCACTGCAACCTCTGCCTCCTAGGTTCAGGCAATTCTCCTGCCTCAGCCTCCTGAGTAGCTGGGATTACAGGCACACGCCGGCACGCGCCACCACGCCCAGCTAATTTTTTTTTCCTACTATACTACTTTTTTTTCCCTACTATAAACACAACACTGGCCTGGCACGGTGGCTCACGCCTGTAATCCCAGCACTTTGGGAGGCCGAGGCGGGTGGATCACGAGGTCAAGAGATCAAGACCATCCTGGTCAACATGGTGAAACCCCGTCTCTACTAAAAATACAAAAAATTAGGGGGAGAGAGATCCAAGATGGCTGACCACTAGCAGCTCTGGATTGTAGCTCCCAGTGAAAGCACAAAGAACGAGAGGACGCCACAGCTTCACATGAATTCTTGTTGCTCATGCAGCAGGAGATTCCCAGAGGAGGAGCCCCACAGGTCGCCAGCGCGACTCTTGTGACTGGCGAGGCGGTTTTGCCGGTGCCTTGGAGCGTCAGTTCTTGGTGCAGAGTCAGAAAAGCACCATCAATCTTTTCTTTTGGATTGGGGGATTTAGTCAATTTAAAATTTTTTTTTTTTTTTTGAGACGGAGTTTCGCCCTTGTTACCCAGGCTGGAGTGCAATGGCGCGATCTCGGCTCACCGCAACCTCCGCCTCCTGGGCTCAGGCAATTCTCCTGCCTCAGCCTCCTGAGTAGCTGGGATTACAGGCACGTGCCACCATGCCCAGCTAATTTTTTGCACTTTTAGTAGAGACGGGGTTTCACCATGTTGACCAGGATGGTCTCGATCTCTCGACCTCGTGATCCACCCGCCTCGGCCTCCCAAAGTGCTGGGATTACAGGCTTGAGCCACCGCGCCCGGCCTGTTTGTTCCTTTCTATGTGTAGTGGTTCTTTCAGAAGCTCTTGTAAAGCAGGCCTGGTGGTGGTGAAATCTCTGAGTGCTTGCTTGTTCACAAAAAAACTTTATTTTTCCTTCACTTGTGAAACTTAGTTTGGCTGGATGTGAAATTCTGGGTTGAAAGTTCTTTTCTTTAAGGATGTTGAATATTGGTCTCCACTCTCTTCTGGCTTGTAGGGTTTCTGCTGAGAGATCTGCTGTAAGTCTGATAGGCTTCCCTTTGTGGGTAACCTGACCTTTCTCTCTGGCTGCCCTTAGTATTTTCTCCTTCATTTCAACCCTGGTGAATCTGACGATTATGTGCCTTGGAGTTGCTCTTCTTGAGGAGTATCTCTGTGTGTTCTCTGTATTACCTGGAGTTGAATATTATCCTGCCTTACTAGGTTGGGAAAATTTTCCTGAATAATGTCCTGAAGCATATTTTCCAGCTTGGATTCATTCTCTTCGTCACATTCAGGTACACCTATCAAGCGTAGATTAGGTCTTTTCACATAGTCCCATATTTCTTGGAGACTTTGCTCGTTCCTTTTTATCCCTTTTTCTCTAATCTTGTCTTCTTGTTTTATTTCATTGAGTTGGTCTTCGACCTCTGATATTCTTTCTTCTGCTTGATCAATTCGGCTGTTAAAACTTGTGCATACTTCACGAAGTTCTCGTATTGTGTTTTTCAGCTCCATCAATTCACTTATATTCCTCTCTAAATTGTGTATTCTTGTTAACATTTCGTCAAATATTTTTTCAAAGTTCTTAGTTTCTTTGGATTGGGTTAAAACAAGTTCTTTTAATTCACAGAAGTTTCTCATTATCCACAAATTGAAGCCTGCTTCTGTAATTGGAACACACTTGTTCTCCATCAAGCCTTGTTCTGTTGTTGATGAGGAACTATGATCCCCTGCTGAGGGAGAGGCGTTCCGATCTTGGGTATTCTCAGCCTTTTTTGGCTGTTTTCTTCCCTTCGTTATAAATTTATCCATCTGTGGTCTTTGTATTTACTGTCTTTGTAATTGGGTTTCCGAGTGGACGTCCAACTTACTGATTCTCAGCGCTGAAATCTGAGCAACCCACTGTGCCGACTAAATCAGCGGCGTTAAGATTGATGGTGCTTTTCTGACTCTGCACCAAGAACTGACGCTCCAAGGCGCCGGCAAAACCGCCTCGCCGGTCACAAGAGTCGCGCTGGCGACCCGTGGGGCTCCTCCGCTGGGAATCTCCTGGTGCGTGAGCAACAAGAATTCATGTGAAGGTGTGGCATCCTCTCGTTCTTTGTGCTTTCACTGGGAGCTACAATCCAGAGCTGCTAGTGGTCAGCCATCTTGGATCTCTCTCCCCCTAATTTTTTGTATTTTTAGTAGAGATGGGGTTTCACCATGTTGACCAGGATGGTCTTGATCTCTTGACCTCGTGATCCACTCGCCTCGGCCTCCCAAAGTGCTGGGATTACAGGCGTGAGCCACCGTGCCAGGCCAGTGTTGTGTTTTATAGTAGGAAAAAAAAGTTAATTCCTTCTGTGA